TAAAAAATTAAAAAAAATAAAGAACAATGACATACCACTATATGCCTATCAGAATGGCCAAAGTCTGGAACACTGACAACACCAAATGCCAGAAGGATGTGGAGCAACAAGAACTCTCACTCATTGCCAGTGGGAACGGAAAATGGTACAGCCACTTTGGAAGACAGTTTGGCAGTTTCTTACAAAATTAAACATATGATCTAACAATTGAGCTCCTTAGTATTTAACCAAATATATAAAATATGTATGTCCACACAAAAAATTTGCACACAAATGTTTCTAGCAGCTTTATTTATAATTGTCAAAATGTGGAAGGAACCAAGATGTCCTTCAGTTCAGTAGGTGAGTTGATAAATAAACTGTGGTACAGCCAGACAATGGACTATTATTCACTGCTAAAAATGAAATGAGCTATTGAGCCATGAAAAGGCATGGAGAAACCTTAAATGCATATTACTAAGTGAAGGAAGCCAATCTGAAAAGACTACACACTGTATGACTCCAACTATGTAACATTCTGGAAAAGGCAAAACTATGAAGGCAGTAAAAAGATCAGTGGTTGCCAGATGTTGGAAGGGTGAGGCAGGATGAATAGGTGGAGCACAGGATTTTTAGGGCAGTGAAAATATTCTGTATTATACCATAATGACGGACACATGTCATTAACCAGAAAAATGCTATATCAAATATAATTTAAACTTTCTTTGTACAAAAGTTACCTTCAAGCCCAGTCCTCAGTTTTCATTGTATTGTAGATATTCAGAAGGGCCAAATAATCGTGAGTTCTAGTTGATTAAATGTCAGCAAGATGATTTAATGTAGTATTTTCCTCTTTGACAATACACTAGAACTATTTTTTTTAAATCCTTCCAGAATAAAAATACATACATCATAAGTGAAATCTCCCACTGGCACTTTCTGCTTCCCTGCCCTCTCTCCTTTTTTTTAATAACATCAGATTTATTGAGGTATAATTTACTATGGTAATATTCACCCTTTTTATATGCTCAGTCCTATGAACTCCATACTAGAGTTAAAATATATAACATTTCATCACTCCAGAAAGTTCCCTCATGCTCCCCTGTAATGAATCCTCTCCCCACCCCCATCCTTCCTCCTGGTACTCACTGATCTATTTTTCTGTCCCCATAGTTTTGCCTTTCCAGAATTTTATATAAATAAAATCATTTGTGTCTGGCTTATTTAACTTCGTGTAATGACTTTGAGAATTGTTGAAGTTTTTGCTGGTATCAATAGGTCATTCCTGTTTATTGCAGAGTTGTAATCTATTGTATTAACGTATACCCACTTATCCATTTACTGGTTAAAGTACATTCTGAGTTATTGCCAAGTTTTGGCAGTTACTAAAAAAAAAGCTGCTGAGTAATATTCCATTGTATATATATGCCATATCTTCTTTATCCATTCATCAGTCGATGGATATTTGGGCTCTCTCCATTTTTTGGCTATTGTAGATAATGCTGCTATAAACATCGGGGTGCATGTGTCCCTTTGAATTTGTATTTTTGTATCCTTTGGGTAAATACCTAGTAGTGCAATTGCTGGATCTTAGGGTAGGTATATTTTTAACTTTTTGAGGAACTTCCGTACTGTTCTCCAGAGTGGCTATACCAGTTTGCGTTCCCACCAACAGTGCAAGAGGGTTCCCCTTTCTCTGCATCCTTGCCAACACCTGTTGTTTCTTGTGTTGCTAATTTTAGCCATCCTGACAGGTGTGAGATGGTGTCTTATCATGGTTTTGATTTGGAGTTCCCTGATGAGTGATGTTGAGCAGTTTTTCATGTGTCTGTTTGGCCATCTGGATGTCTTTTTTTAATGATAGAGAACAAACTGAGGGTTGACGGACGGAGGTGGGTTGGGGATAGGCTAGACGGGTGATGGGGATTAAGGAGGGCATGTGTTATGATGAGCACTGGATGTTGTATGTAATGATGAATTATGAATTCTACTCCAGAAACCAATATTGCACTGTATGTTAACTACCTAAAATTTAAATAAAATTAAAAAAAAACAACAACAAGAACTAAAGCAAAACAAAAAAGCTGCTATGAACATCTAGGTATAGATTTTTGTGTAAACATAAGTTTTCATTTATCTTGGGTAAATACCTAGGAGTGGGATTTCAAGGTCATGTGGTAATTGTACGTTGAACCTCATAAGAATCTGCCAAACTGTTTTCTAAAGTTGGTGTACCATTTTGCATTCCCACCAGCAGTGTATAAGATTTCCAGTTCCCCTCCATCCTCTCCAGTAGTAGGCATTGTGATTTCTTAAAAACCTTTTTAGTGGGTATGTAGGGGTATCTCACTGTGGCTTTAATATGCATTTCTTGAATGATTAATGATATTGAGCATATTTTCCTGTGCTTAATTGTCATTCATAGTGTGTGTATATGTGTGAAATGTCTGTTCACATCTTTTGCCCATGTTTTAAACTGGATTGCTTGCTTTATTCTTATTGAGTTATGAGAGTCAACTAACACTTGTGTTCTGGATACCAGTCTTTTTATCAGATGTGTGTGTTGTAAATATTTTTCCCAGCCTGTGGCTTGCTTTTTCATTCTGATAACAGTATTTTATGAAAGGCAGAAATTTTAAATTTTGATAAATTCTAATGTATCAGTGTTTTTCTTTTATGGATCATACTTTTTGTTAATTTCTGTGAAATCTTTGCCTAACTTAAGGTCAGAAAGATTTTCTCCTACCCTCTGTTCTGTAAGTTTTTTAGTTTTAAGTTTTACATTTAAGCCTATGATCCATTTGCATTAATTTTTGTATATGGTGTGACTATTGGTATTTATAAAGCTCTCTTAAGTGTGATTACATCTGATTATTATTTAAAAGAAAACTTGGAGGAAGGCACATCAGGAATTTTAATCCCCATTTTACAGATAAGAGAACAGGATTAGAGAAGTGCTGTGTGACTTGCTTAAGGTCCCATGGCTGATAAGAGGTGAAACTGCAAGATAAGAGGTAAAATTGTGATGAGAAAGTTCAGGTTTCCTGCCGTCCCAGGCCAGTACTTTTGAAGCCAGGCAGCTAGGGCTCAAGTTGGTGCCCCAGCAAAGCAAAGATTCCCAGTCGGGATCTGAGCAACTTCTTAGGCATTGAGATAAGAGACAGATGGTGGACTAGCCTTGACCCAACTGAGGCTGCATTCCTCTGACCAACTTGGGGTTCCACGATCGAAGAGAGCCAGAAACGGTCCTGGTACCTTGCTCGGGTGATACTCAGTGAATGCTTTTTGATGATGATATGAAGCCTTGGAACATGTTCAGAGGAGAGCTCTGAAAGTACGGAGTTAGAAATTAAAGCTAAGGAAAAAAGTTAAGGCAACTAATATTATTTTGCCTAGAAAAGAGGCCTAAGAAGAAACTTGATAACAGCTTTCAAAGAAAAAAAAAAAAAGAGCTTTCTTTCTGAGGAGTAAGTAAAGGGAAATGGGCTGAAAGAATCTAAGTAGAATGGTAAATTTCTTCCTCCCCGGTGAGGATTGTTACAGACACTTAAGAACCTTTATAAACAGAATAAACTCTTCCTATTTGAGTTTGGAGTCAGGGATTTGCCAAACATAGGCTCTGATGAAGGATTACATGACCTCTTGCACAGTGTCCTTAGAAATCTCTGGGTGGCTTCTAAATCTGCCTTGTTTCCTCATACAATTCTAGGAGGCCTTTGTCTGTGGACTTCCCTGCTCTTTAGTCTTAATATCTTTATAGGACTGTTCCAATGGCCAACACAAGCTTTACCTTAGCTCCTGAAGGCTCAGTTAACTCCCATGCTCTTTGGCCCTGAAGCCAGGTAGAACATGCTTAAGGCTATAAATCTGGCTTAGCATGCCTGGAAGGGCCTAAAATGTTGGCTAGTCCAAATCTGACCCCGATTCTTGAATCCCCTGTTTTATATCTAGCATCTGCTTGCACACCTCCAATTATGGAAAGCTTCACTCATCCCAATAGAAGACATAATACAATGAACTTTGGACTAGGAATAAGAAGAGTTGGGTTTGAGTCCCAGCTCTGCCACTAACTTGCTGTGTGATCTTTGGTAAGTCCCTTCACATTTCTGGGCCTGTTTATCGGTAAAATGGTAGTGGAGGAATCTTTTTGTTTTAGTTTATGTTGGTTTAACTGCTGTTAACAAATGGCCCTCAGAAATTCAGTGGCTTAAAGGACAAGAAGTTTGAAAGACTCCTAATTATTGGAAACAAACTGATGGTTGCTGGAGGGGAGGTGGGTGGGGGGATGGAGTAACTGGGTGATGGGCATTAAGGAGGGCACTTGATGTAATGAGCACTGGGTGTTATATGCAACTGATGAATCACTAAACTCTACCTCTGAAACTAATAATACATTATATGTGAATTAATTGAATTTAAATTAAAAAAAAAGAAGTTTCTTTATTTCTTATGCAATGTTCAGGGAAGGGGTTCCAGATTGGAGAGGGAACTTTGCTCCATGTAGTTATCTAGGGGCCCAGACGGAACTGATGGCAGTTCTACCAGTCTTAATACATGGCTTGCAAGGTCACTTTGCGGTTGTAGCTCACAGGAAAGCAGAAATCTCATGGGAGTTTTTTTATGGTCCTGGCCTGGAAGTGGTGTATATTATTTAACACACATCCTATTGGTCAGAATTCAGTCACATGGTCATACCAAACAGCCAAAGTAGCTGAGAAATGTAGTACAGCCATGTGGTGACTAGCTAGAAGATCCCGTCATAGACTTGATCTCTAAAGGCCCCCTACCCCAGCTCTGAAGTTCTAGGTGTGCTTATTAACTAAACTCCTGGTTCTCACATTGCCCCGCTACAGGTGCTTATGGAAGCCACCTAACTTCTCTGACCATTAGGGACTAGCAGGATGGCAGTGAGGCCAATGCAATGTCCCCTGTGAAAGGCCAGAGAAGGAGAACTGAGATACCAGCTGCATCACTGGGTACCACGTTAAGCTAAGTTGTCTTTGTGCTTCTTTTCTCTGCAGCATGGGTAGGAGCCCTCTCAATGGGCATGATCTTCTTCTGTTCTCCCATTGTGAGTATATTCACTGATCGTTTGGGCTGCCGAATCACAGCAACTGCAGGGGCTGCTGTCGCTTTCATAGGCCTCCATACCAGCTCCTTTACCAGGTAAGGCTAGGAGTTGCTAGCCATTTGCCCGAGGCTGAAGGTTGGCTTCTTTCTGTGCTTCAACTGGGGACACTTCTCATTGCAGAATCCGCTGTGGCCCTTTCCATGTAGGGTCCTTAAAGACCCTGCTCCTGAGAATCATTGTCCAGTGGGATTCATCTAGGTAGGGTCTCCAGGACACATTGGTATACAATATCCCCAAAAAGGACCCCAAAGTTCCAAAGTGGTGGGAGAAGCCTAAGCTTGGGAGTTCATAAAGCTGGGCCTAAGTCCAGTTTTGGCCACTAAATGGCTATAGCCACTCAATGATGAGTACCATTCCCCTATCTCAGTTTCTATATCTGTAACATGAGGGGATTAGACCAGATAGTCTTTTCAGGTCTCTTCCAGCTCTGCCATTCTATTCCCTCTTCAATATGCCACACAACTCATGACCTCACTTGCCTTCCTGGGAATGAGCTTCTGGAGTGAACGCATGTGAAACACCTACCTTACAGGATTCCTGAGGGAATCTTATATTGAAAAAGAAGTCAGCTGAACCCAAGGCTTTTTAGCATTTCTAGCTCCTTTCCAGATATTTCTGGCTGCCAATGTATGGATAATTTGGGAAAGAAAAAAGATCATGTCTTGGGCATGAGAAGGGATGTTTAGCAGCATCCCCCACTGGGGGTCTAGACCTAGCACCCAGCTACCCAGCTAGGCCTAGGCTAACCTCAAACTCTGGTCCAGTTGGTCCTACTGTCAAAACTTGGCAGTATCAGGCAAGAAGCAGGCTGTAAGTTCATTCTCTGGTTTCTTTCTGCCAACCCTGCAGAAGCATGTCTGCAGGGGAGGGGAGAAATAAAAACCTTCCACCATGGCCTGAGGAATATGGGACTCCTAAAGAAGTCTGTTGACTTTCTGCCAAAGACACTTTGGAAGTTATTATACTTCCTACTTCCAATTTGCCTGGGCTGGTGTATGACAATGCTGGCCTGGAGACATGGCTAACTTGTCAGGGACTTGCTTTCTGATCTTGGCTCACCAGAGAAGGACTATGGTTATACTCTCTAGGCCTAAGGTTCCACTCACAGTGGAAAATGATAACTGGGTTCTGCCACAACTGGGCCCTGTGAGAGGGAGCCAGCTTTCTTTTTGACTTGAGCATTTCTGGCTACACAGCCTACCCTCCAGCAGAGCTTGGATACGGCCTACAATGATTTCTTGGCTTGGTCCCATCCAACTGGGACAGAGGAGGGGAAAACCATGTCCTGCTTGGAATGTGCTCAGCTCTCCTATGGCAGCCCCCCCCTCCCAAACCCTTTCAGGATCCCTCTGGTGGCTGGCCTCATTTGCCTTCAGCAAGCTGGTGCCTGGCCCCTTGAGGGAAGGAGCTAGGCCTCAGACGTGGCTCCAGTCTCAGCACTACACAGCAGAGCCCTGTTTTTTAACGCAGAGCAGAGCAAAGTGTAAACAAATTAGCAACATATGGATCCCATTTCTCTTCCAGTACACATCAGCTCAGTTACAGGAGGGGAAGGAGCTCGGATGTATTTTTTTCTGGCACTCATCTTTAGGCACAATGGAGTAGGCATTCCGTTCTCCAGCCCTTAAGCCCTTCCCCACCCCCTTTGCCTTTTCTGTAAGAATATCTTTAGAGCCAAGAAACTTTCTGGATGGCTTCATGTCCAGTGGAAAAATGGTTCTGCTTGTGGCTAGCACTCTAAGTCATCCTTCCTGTTGTCTGAATCAGGGTTCTGAGTTCCTTTAGATGGCATGAGATGGGACAGAGTGTAGGCAGGGCTGCGGAAGTCTTGGCAACCCTATGCAGGGGCTTCCTGTCTTGAGGCCCTGCTAGAAATAGATCTATCAGACAGCACTCTGAACTAAATCCCATGCTTTGCTGGACCTCTCCTTGAAAGTCTCCCTTAGACCTTCTTAACTCCTCTCCCTTACACAAGGCCCCCAGACCAGGCCAATCCCCAAAAATCTGACAGAAGAGGAGCAGTTGGCTAAGCTATGTGTTCCAAGTGGAGGCAACCCTTTTAAAACTAAAGCTTTTGCTCATATCCAGTGAATATAAGCAGATGAAAAGCAATCTTGCCATTTGCAACAATATGGATGGGGCTAGAGAGTATTATGATAAGTGAAATAAGTCAGTCAGAGAAAGACAAATACCATATGACTTCAGTCATATGTCAAATTTAAGAAACAAAACAGATGAACATGGGGTGGGGGAAGAGAGAGGCAAATCATAAAACAGACTCTTAACTATAGAGAACAAACTGATGGTTACCAGAGAAGTGGGTTGGGGGATCGGTTAAATGGGTGATGGGGATTAAGGAGTACGCTTGTTGGGATGAGCACCAAGTGTTGTATGGAAGTGTTGAATTACTATATTGTACACCTGTAACTAATATTACACTGTATGTTAACTAACTGGAATTTAAATAAACATTTAAATAAAAAAAATAAAAATAAAGAAAAGCAATGGTGATATAGTTGTCTTAGAATCATGAGTACTAACACCACATCATCTCTATAGCAGAGGCCTAATCCTTTGCTGTATGAGGACTGGGTCCATCTATGGAGAGCAACGGCCTGACCATGGAGAGTATTAGTTAATTAAATGGTCAGATAAGAACTATTGCAAAATATGTGGAAGCTTCAAAAAGAAAACAAAATTCTTCACTAGGTTGTGCCAATATTGTCTAAGGGCAGACGGCTGGCCAAGCTGACCTTCCCGTGGCCTTTTCTCTTTTGACACTTTGCCTTCTGTTACGGAGGCTTATGGCCACAGCAGAACCTAAGAGTTTTAAGCCAGAACCTGTCTTACTTGGCCAGGACCACAATTTCTTTGAGGCTCCACTTCTCATCAAGCAGTCAGGCTACTCTGGGAGGCTAAGCCATACCATGTCCAGCAAATAGGAGCCAGGATCTGGAAGTTAAAGGGACTCCTTACTTCAGGATCCCCAGGGAGATCATCTAAGGTCTGGAGTAAAGGGTCTTGGGATATCCAGACCTTGGATAGGGTTGGGGATGAGGTTTCTCAGGAACCTACCAGCCATTTTCTGAAATATGAAGGGCCCTGAGCATAGAGAAAGATAGTAGAGTCCCATGGAAGATCTTGACCTTCCAGGATCTTGGCTCCCTGCAGACCTTTGTTGTTACTTGGGATAAAGCTTTGGCTACCAGCCTACACATGGTGTCTAGGTGAGCAGTAGGTGAAACTGTTCTAAGGCCCTGACTTACTCCTTGTAGCCTTTTCTCCAGCCATTGCATAGGTTGGTTCTGGCATTCTTTTGAGCAATTCTCTTTGATGGGGTACTATGATTCAAACTAGAGTCATGCAGACCTAGAGTCAAGTCCAAGCTTTGCTGATCCCCAGTTATGCTACACTGGGTAAATTACTTCTCTGGGACTCTGTTTCCTCATCTGCAAAATAGGGATAAGAAAGTCCTGTTCTTTCTCTATTCTGAAGGTCAGTGGTAAGTGGGGTTGTGGGTTATGGTGGGGGTATGAAAGTCTCAGGAGGGTGACGGGAGAGGGCAGGTGGATTGCTGGTCAGGCTGCTGAGAATAGCTCTTGGTGTTTCTCCCACAGCTCACTAAGCCTGCGTTATTTCACCTATGGGATTCTCTTTGGTTGTGGCTGTTCCTTCGCCTTTCAGCCATCTCTCGTCATCCTGGGCCACTACTTCCAACGCCGTCTGGGTCTGGCCAATGGTGTGGTGTCTGCTGGGAGTAGCATCTTCTCCATATCCTTTCCTCTTCTCATCAAAACACTGGGGGCTAAGATCAAGCTCGCCCAAACCTTCCAGGTGCTGAGTACCTTCATGTTTATTCTTACGCTGCTTTCGCTCACCTACCGGCCACTCCTACCCAGTTCCCAGGACACCCCAAACAAGAGAGGTGTCCGCACCCTGTGCCAACGCATTCTGTCTCAACTTAGAAAGTACTTCAACATGCGAGTATTCCGCCAACGTACCTACCGCATCTGGGCCTTCGGGATTGCTGCTGCTGCCCTTGGCTACTTCGTTCCCTATGTACACCTGGTAAGGAATACTAGGGTGGACCCACCTTACCTCCAAGAAGCTGCCCTTAGTCTGCCCGAGGTCCAGAGGGTAGGGGTGAAGGACAGTGAGAGAGCAGAGCTGGGACCTTTGGAAAAAGAGACCAAACAATGTTTGAAGAGATGCAGAGTAAGAAAGAACAGACTGAGGGAAGACCTCAATGGAAAAAGGGAAGAGTTCCTTAGGGGAAAGCCCATGCTTTATCAGTGGGGTTCCCACTGATAAATCTAGATAGGTTTTCAGAAGATAAGCATCATTGGGATGGAAGACTGGCCCAGATGACCCAAGGATAGGGTTTCCTAAGAGTGTATTCTATGGAATGCTGGTCTTTGTGGTCAAATGATTTGTTCAGGAATCGACACATAATCAATATTTCTAGCTTCACATTGTTGCAATCTTTTAAAGGTACCAAAAATCCAGCAGTAAAAGAAATCCATTTAGCTTTATTTAACCATTATCCACCCAAATTCTACTTCCACAGAACTGTCAGTTGTAGTCCAGTTATTATCTTCCATAGACCTCGTGTTTCTTAAAACACACTTCTGGAAGCATTATGTGGAAGTTGGTGGATCTTCTCCCCTGGTGACCTGCTGTTGCCCCAGGCTATCAGTTCTGGGTCAGGGAATGGGGAGATTTTGGGGGAGCCCTTGGATTTTCTTAGTTTTTAAGGCTGTCTGTAGTCTGTCCTGCCAGAGCTTGGAAGGGGCTTGGAGATACCCACTCCCCTCAGCTATTGCTCAGAAGCCCAGAATCCAAAAAGCCAAGGCATATGAAGCCTTTTAAGCAATTAGAAGCAGCCAGAAAGCTTGTTCCGGAGCTAGGGCTACAAAGGAGGGGGTTGTAGGGGAGGGAGCTCTTGCCATGGTCCAGGAAAGTAAGCAGTAGAGGGTTTTGGCTATGCAAACAGTTAACCAGTCAGCTCCTTTTCTTCCTCCTGTCCCTGGGGGTCCTGGTGCTATGCTTTTCAGATGAAGTATGTGGAGGAGGAGTTCTTGGAAATCAAGCAGACCTGGGTGCTCTTGGTGTGTATTGGGGCTACCTCAGGCCTTGGGCGCCTTGTGTCAGGCCGTGTCAGTGACTCCATTCCTGGACTTAAGAAGATCTACTTGCAGGTGAGTGTGACCACCCTGCCCTGACCACAGTAGTGTGGGAAGGGCCTGCCACAGATACTAGGTAACCCCCAGCCTTTGGGATAGAATGGTAGGTTATGTCATTACAGTGCCCTGGGCCCCAGCTTTGACACGAGCTTATTGTTCAACATGGGAAAGTCGATCAAATTCTCTGAGCCTCAGCTTCCCTTCTTTCAACTGAAGACTGTCATCCTTGTTCTGCCTCCTTCATCAAAATGGACTGAGGATCCAGTGAGAGGAGTGTGTAAATGGAAACTCTAAGAATACTTTCAAAGAAAGCATTTATTAATAATAGCTCTTCCATCTGAAATAGGGAAACTGAGGCCAGGAATTAGATGTTGTCCCCATTGAGGACTGATCTCCTTGCTCTCCCATATTCTCTTGGAAGGCCTTGGGCATCTGTAGTATTCTGTGGCCCAGTGTTTCTCTCCTTTAAGTCCAATTTCAAGTCATTCACTCCTTATACTTCCATAATCACTTGTACCAGGCATTGGCTCTCAAATGCTATCTTCCTGATGGACACCAAAAAAGTGCCAGAAAACACAACCTTACTTTCCCTCTGTGGGCCTCACTTTCCTCATTTGTGCAATAAGAATAATTCTCGCCTTTCCTATCTCACCTCGCAGGCGAGGATCAAAATTTCTTTTGACAGGTGTGACCAGGGTTTGGGAAGTAAAAAATGTTAGAGCCATGCAAGATTTTAATCCTTCGGACAGTAGCACAGTGCCTCATATTGTGGGCAGTAGCCACCTAGATGCTAGAAAGGCCACTTTCTGTGTGAATTGGGCTCTGGTCTGGCTTGAGACTACTGTTGAAGCTGTCTCTTTGTCTACCTGGCAGCAGTATTGCCTTTCTGACCTTGTTCATGCTTTTTGCTCCTGCAGCTGGGTTTACCAGAATGTACATGAATGTGGAACCCTGTGAAGGGGCAACAGCAGCCCCTCAAAACATGTGGTCACAAATGATCCATTAAAAAGGTGGTTGAGTTCTGACTCTCCTGGTAAAGCCCTAAAAGCCTTTCCAAGGGGCCCTGACATAGTCGGGATTTCTCTGTCTTCTGACAGACCCAAGTGTTTTCCTTAATACTCTCAGATGTCTTAGACAAGAATATGATTCAAGTTTTCTGTTGTGTTTAACTCTGTGTTAAATTTGCAAAAGCTGGTGAATCTGCTTTGTGTGAGCTAGGGGTGCCCTTATTGTTCATCCAGTCCAACTTCTCATTATACAGAAACTGAGGGAAAGATTCATATAGTCATGGCAAAGTTGAATTCATATGTAGCACTTTTCTCATATTCCACTTTACACTAAGTAATGGATGGCAGAGCTATGTCCCAGAGATAAATGACTTGACTGAAGTCAACTCAAAAGACCGTGATTGAGGTAAACCAGTTAGGAAATTCTGAATTCCTGTGCAAATATCAGCAAGTGCCTTATCTGGGTAGCTTTTTGCATAGGAGAATGTGTGGCTTTTTCAGCCTCTTCCATATGCCACACCTGCAGGTCTTCCCTGTCATTATCAGTTGCTCCAAGATGCTAAGCGTGCTGGAAATCAGAGTAAGCTAGCATTTGGCCAGGACTTTATTTTGAGGAAAAGCAGCAGCCCCTGCCTAGCCATATAGCTCATTTCTCACCACAGTCCCTAGGAGAGAAATAGGGCCCAATCAGCTTTTGCTTTCTATTGTGCAGGAGTTCCAAGGGAGGTAGAGGCATTGATTAGTCAGAAGCAGAACTAGACTTAGAGCCCAGGGCTTCTGCTGACCACTTCCCCTACCCACCCAACACCTTCTCTCCCCTTTTCCAGTCTTACTTGACCCAGTTTTACCACTTAGAGTAATACAAAATAATCTTAGAATCTTATAGCTAAAATATATTTTTATCAATTATAGTCCAACTCCCTCATTTTACAAATTGAGGAACTGAGGCCTAGAAAGGGAAAGTGATTTGTCCAAACTCATCTTGCTGGCGAATGTCTCAGGCAGAGAGAACAAGACATGGATAAATTTCTTTCTCTTGAGCTACTCAAGATACTCCATCACAGGAATTTGCCTCACTTTCTCCCTGGGTCAGATGTAGGAGTATAGGCCTGGCAGAAGAAAGGAGTGTATACAACTTCAGATTCTGAAGAGATATCCACTAGACCCTGTGGTTCCCACTACTGGCAAAGACCCAGACACATGTATCTGGCATCAAGCTCCTGGACAGTCTGTTAGAAAGAAACAGTGACAACCTGCAGGACAACCTCACTTTGGGCCAATTCTTGAGGTCTGATTCTCAGTTCAAATAGGTATTTTAATTTCTAAACTTGGCAAGGCCTCATGGAGGATGTTAACGGGCAGCTAGATACAATAGGTAGTAATGACAGATGACTGAAATCAGTTAATGGGGTCCTTTGTGTTTTATAATGGTATTAACTCTTAATTGCCATACCATTATGACTTGGTTGATAGGTGGGTCTTGTTTTATCTTATAGTTGTGCATGAATCTCCTAGAGGAGAAACTGGGATATCAGGGTCCTTATTCTTAGATTCCACCTAGGTATCCCAAAACAGCCTAGGCAAAGTTCAAAAATCTTCCAACAAAGAGATTTCCTCAGATGGTACAGCCAGGACATTTCTTATCCTAAAACCCAACTGATCAACCTAGCAAACCCACTGCCAGTACAACACAGAAAATCTTCAGGGTTTGAAACAGCCTTGACCCTCCTACCCCATCCATGTGGTGATGTAGTGATTTACCCTTCCTGGGTAAGTTTCCCTGCCTGTGTGAAGGATTAGAAAATCCTGGGTCCTGTCAAGGACTTGGTAAACAGATCAGGTCTTAGCCCTGACCCTGGGATGACCTGGCTCTGCTGGCTAGAGTGGGTGGGAGGAGGGGGTTTATTTCTCTTCCTACAGCCCTGGTCTTCAGTCTGGCTCACTGACACAGGTTGCAGATGACCTTAATCAAAAGACCAGCTGTGTTTCCAGTTGCTCTTCTCTCTGTCGAGTGGGAAAAACTAGCCTTTGGACAGGGAGTTTCTTTGTTTTGGAGTCAATTTGCTCAGCCCAAAGAAAGCCCAGTGGCTAGTCAATGCCCCTGAGCTGGCTCCAGGCTCCCTAGAACCCCTCCTAGTGTCTTGGTTCTCCTTAAAGTCCCCTTTGTTGCCCTTTGCATGGTGCCCAGCCAAGTCCAGAGGACCCCCACAGCCATGCTATCTGAGATGGCGGTGTGTCCCATGTCCTAAATCATAAGGAACCTGGGTGAACCTTCCAATGGTTTCCTTCATGACAAGGTGTTTTCTAAAAGCAGCCACCCACATAAATGGGCACTGGGTTCTTCCTCATTTCAGGAAGCTGTGACTTCCATTCATGCCCCCATCTAATCATCATCCAAGTTATCCTTACTTCCTTCCCTTCCTCTCCCATATCTTGGATCTGAGAACACCAGCATGGTCTGATTCCGACCCTAATGCCTGGGACAGCCAAACACAAGATCAGAACAACAGCAATTTCCTTTAGCTTAGAGTCCAGTGAAAAGACAACTTCTTAAGGACAGGGGCCATACCCCCTAATTTTTTTAAAAAAAATCTTGATGGAATCACAGTTAAACAGGAGCTCTCTTAAAAACCTTGAATCCTTCAGTGCAGGACTTAGAAGGCGCCTAAGTAAGTATTTAGCCTAACTGTTCTCTGTTGACAGCCCCCATTCCAATTTATAGATGGTGGAAATGAAACCCTGAGAAAGGAGACATGATTTGCTATGTGGTCTTGACTGACAAGCACAACATGACCTAAGGCCCTTGCTCCTCTAGGTCATCTCCTTCCTGCTCCTGGGCCTGATGTCCATGATGATTCCCCTATGCCGGGGCTTCGGGGGCCTCATCGTTGTCTGCCTCTTCCTGGGCCTGTGTGATGGCTTCTTCATCACCATCATGGCCCCCATCGCATTTGAGCTGGTGGGCCCAATGCAGGCCTCACAGGCAATTGGCTACCTCCTTGGCATGATGGCCCTGCCGATGATTGCTGGGCCCCCCATTGCAGGTGAGGCTGATATTACAGGGAGGGCATGAGTGGGGGAGTCCTGTCTTCCCTGGGCCCTAGCAATCCTGAGCAACTCTGCTTGAAGTCCCTTTTACTCTTATTTTCTATTTAAGCAGCCTTGTTAGAGTGCATGAAACCCCTTACCACTATTGGTGGAAGAGGCTAAGTACAGTATATGTGCATGGATTCATTTTCTGGGAATGGGCTTTTCATGGCTATCTGTTTCAGTGGGGTTTTATTTTAGACAGCCTGGCTGATTCCAAGAGGGTAGAGAGAGAAATGGGTTTGGCCTTCTTTTTTTTTTTTTTTTTTTAAAGATTTTATTTATTTATTTGACAGAGAGATAGAGCCAGGGAGAACAAGTCGGGGGGAATGGCAGAGGGAGAGGGAGAAGCAGGCTCTACACTGAGCAGGGAGCCTGATGCGGGGCTCGATCCCAGGACCCTGGGATCATGACCTGAGTCGAAGGCAGATGCTTAACCATCTGAGCCACCCAGGTGCCCCAGGCCTTCTTGATCATTCTATTGGTCCAGTATCTTCTCTCTCTCTCTCTTTATAGGAAATGAATTATTTGCAAGGTAGTTAGGCAGGAAGAGAGGAGAAAGTGGACCCCAGCTTTATTAAGGCTTAGAGATCCCCCCTCCTTCTCCATTGGCTTCTGAACTGAGCCTGTAGAAGAGATTTGATTAAAGCCAAATCCCAGGACTGAGCCAGTGAAGCTTACTTCCAGCAGGCAGCAGGCAAAGTGTTGGCTTGCCGTCCTTCAGTACTCCCAGTTTCCTTCTCCACTCTCCAAGATGGGCATTGTTGATATCCCAAGGAACATAGGAAACAAAGAAAAACCAATGAAAAGAGAACTCCATTTCTTTTCTTTAGGATTTATTGCAAATACTGATTCATGGGCTAGCCTCTCTAGGCTGACCAACTGGGCTAACTCAACAAATATCCCTTGAACACCAATTCTGTGTAAGGCATTGCAAGGGCATGTCATGCTGTGTGACAGTGACAAAAGCTTCCACCTGGCCCTTGTGCAATAGCCACACTGCTCACTGGGAGAGGGGAGACTCCTCCCAGCCTCTGATCCCAGAGGTGGATCCCAGAATCCACATCTCTTTCTACTTTGCTTACCATCTAAGCAGCTCAAAGGTTTACTTGCCTTTTCTCGGTAGTATTTCTGGGCTCATCTTTCCTATGAGGTACCCCACATTAGCTTCTGAAGGCAAGCAGGGGAGTTCTTGCATACCATGCCAACCATATTCATGGTATTGGCAACTTATAGGAACCCAGAGGGGCCAACCATAACTGTAACTAGGATGAAGAATATATATATATATATATATATATATATATATATATACCTTCTCAGGGTAAATGGGAACTTCAGAGAAAGAGAAAATAGGAACTTAGCTGAACTGTTCCACAAGAACACTCTAGTCTAAGTTGGGGGTTGAAGGGTATATCACTATGAATCAAGACAAGGCTTGGCCATCTTTTGTGGAACTCTTTTAAACTAGGTTCCCTCCTAACTCCATACCTAGGAGCAACTGGAAGTTAAGCTGTAGCTTCATGAAAGTGAAAAAATGGAGAACTTTAAGAGAAGCTTCATTAGCCCCTTTCATAATAAGCATTAACCCCAAGGGCCTGCATCCCCATTACCTCAGGAAGGAGCCATCTGACTTCGCAATGGAGGTTTTATTTATTTATTTTTTCACTAGGAATGTTTAAATTGAGGGGGCATTTCGGTCAAGGTAGTGCAGGTCAAGGTTCTCTGGATAGGCATTGTTATGGCCCCTGAAAGAGGCAGAGAGCACCTTTGGGCAGGAGGGGAAAGCTGAACTTGATTTGTCTTTCTTGACTGTTTCAGGCCTCCTCCGCAACTGTTTTGGGGACTACCATGTGGCCTTCTACTTTGCTGGTGTGCCCCCCATCATTGGGGCTATAATCCTCTTCTTCGTACCTCTGATGCATCAAAGGATGTTCAAGAAAGAGCAAAGGGATTCCAGCAAGGATAAGATGTTGGCCCCTGACGCAGACCCCAATGGGGAGCTGCTGCCGGGTTCCCCCATCCCTGAGGAACCAATCTAATGCATTTTCCTTGCCGTTGTGTGTTCCTCCCCAACCCTTTCCCTTCACCCCACCTGCTCAGCATTTACATTTTTGCCATCAGCACACTTGTTCTCAAACATGCACACACAGCAGTTCATCCACCTGACCAGCCCCTTGGAGCCAAAGCTCATGTTAAACTCATTAACCAAATTTTCCCTGTGAATGCCTTTAAACTTGCCAGGGTCCTTCTCTCAGGATCTAGGAAAGCTTGGGATCTCCCTGGCCTTTGGAACATCTCCATATACTTTCTAATACCTGGAGATGGTACCTCCTGGCCCCAGCTTGCTAGTCACCCACTAAAAGCAACTTCCAAAGGTGCTACCGTGTCCCTAGGAGCCTGGTGGGAAGACCCAAGCCTCTGTGTGCTCAGGAGTTCCTTGCCATCTATCCTTGGGAGCCATTGGTAAGGGGGCAGAGAAAGGGTGGAGAGGTAAAATCAGACAAGGAGACTTGCTTAATTTCAGAGTCTCTTAGGGTTGTGGCTTCCCAAGAGCTATGGGTGACATCACTTTACAAGTGTACAAATAAGTCTCCCCACCATATAGTTGGTTAACAGTCTGCTTCCTTCTTCCTTTCTTCGTTTTTTTTTTCTTTACTGTTTTTTCTATTTCTTTTTATGACTGTCATAGATGCATGGGTGCTTGAAGACAGAAGGGACCTAGAGCTTGGGCCAATCAGCCTCACCTTGGCCTAGCCCACCCCTAACATGATCATCAATTCCACTCATCTCAGGCTGAGCCACATCTCACTTTTTGGCTCAAGCTGCTATAATTATAAACTGGAAGAGTCAAATATCACATAGGGAAGGGACTTTAAACACCAAAAAGTTCCACTCACTGATTTTTACAGGTTTCCCAGGCCAGTGCATTAACCTGTAGACACTTCCAGCTCCCCATCTGTGTATTCACCTGTCAAAATGTGAAGAAGTTCCTTTCATCTCAGCAGGCAAAGGAGGACTGATGATGGGGGAGGGCATGGTTGGGGGAGGGGCAATAATTATTGACCTGGCAAAGGACCAACTTCTCCATCTCTCATTAGTCATGATAGGTTAATATTTCCACCTGGGTCAGGGTGGGAACGGGGCTGTTTTAGGGAAAATCCCATTCCCAGCCTGGATCCCCAAAAGGTAGAGGCAGGAGCTACATGTAGGATTTAACAATTTCTTTTAGGAAGAGGAAACCATCTTAACCTTTACCACCCAATATATCTCCCACGCTGGGTATCCTGAGCCACTCTGCTTAGTGGGCATTAAAGGTGCCAGGAAAGTGGGCTCTGGACCATCTTAATCCTTCTGAAATAGGTGCCAGATGCTTCCCTATGCTCAGATTCTGAGCAACACTCTTACTGAAGAGCATTCCCAGCGAGGCTGTGTCCGAGCTAGCACAACTCACCTCCTTAGGAGATCAGCCTCTCTCCTTACTTGGCCTCTTTGTGTCTCTTTCTCTGTATTCTGGGCCTTTGTGCTCCTGTTACCCTAATCTTTCATCACCTTGTCAGGCATCCTTGGCTGTTACTTGGAGCTAACAGTGACTTACCACCCTAAGCCAGGGCCATCCAGGGCCAGGAGGATGAGGTTGCCTGTGAGAGGCTCCAAAGAAGACAGTGGTCCCTAACCATGACATTTTCCGTTACAAACAGGCAGCTGGGACATGGTTGGCCTATGATGGCCTCATTCAAGGCCAAAGTCCTACGCCCCCTCCATTGGTCCTAGTCCAGCTTTTATCAACTTCCCAAAGGAAAACTCACTGGCTCTTAGCCCTGTGGGTAGGAAGGGGCCTAATTACTATCCTCCTGGCTTAAACAGCAGTGGGACAGGAGAAGCTGAGCCCCAGGAGCCTTGTAACTCCAAGGAGAGACCACTGAAAATGTTGGAGCAATAAAGCCCCTGTGTCCATTCTTCCTGTCCCTCCCCCACCAAATCATTGGAGGGCAGGTCTGCAGGGCCTCTTTTGTTGTTCAAGGTGAAGAAAGCTCTTAAAAATCAGGCTGCCAACCACTTCTCTCCAGATGAAGGAAAGACATTCACAGGTCCCAAATCTGTCCTATCAGTTGTCACATAACATGGTGGGGTGTCAGTTTACTTCTTCCACATATGTGCATGTACATGTGTGAGCTTGTGTGCTTTTGGAGAGAATGTTGGTTGGTGAAAGCAGCTCAGTATTAATATTTAGGGTAGGATGCAGCCTCTAATGCACCACAGTTAAATCTAGGAGAACGAACAAAATTTGGGAGCTTGAGATCTGGGACATTTAAATCCTCAAAAGGTTTGGAACAAAATAAACAGATCTAAAAATCTAGATTTGGTATGTGTGTTGCCTACAGGGTGAAATAGTCTTAACCTAGTTAACAGCAGGAAGTTTGGTTTCAAAACTGAAATCTCATTTCAAATAAAATTTATGCCAGGGTCTATACTCTCTGTAAGAGCAGAAATTGGAAAAGGATCTATAGGGGATTTAGAGTTGGATGGACTTTTCAGGATTAGATTTTTAGGGAGCTCTGAAGTGGAAAAGTAGTCACTTTACAAAATGAGAACACAGTAGCAGAAGCCAAGTGGAGGCCTCATGAAGGCCACCACCTTGCTACATACATGCCATGTTGAAAATGGGCAAAGACCTTAGGAACAATCCATTTTAATCCTCTCCCTTGTTATTGATGGGAGAACCTGAAGGAACTGGTATAGCTGGGTTACACAGCCAGACAGCAACAGGCCATGGAATTGGTGATGTGGAAGAAAGACCTACAACAACGACAAAGCTGGGAGTGTAACTTTGTCCATCCTCTGCATTGATTTAAGTGGGGAAACTGAGGCCTAGATATAGCAAGGGACTGAGCAGGTTCACATAGTTCATCAGTGACAGCATGCTGAGACTTGAATTCAGGTAATTGACTTCCAGTCCAAACCCCTTATTTTACAGATGAGGAAACCAAGTTAATAAGGGAAATGACTTGTCTACTTCATTTAACAACTATGTAGCGAGCCCATTTCCACAAGGGCGTCAAAAGGACCAGCTCCAAGCAAAAATGAAATCTGAGCATAGTTTGATTTTAGCATATCCCATTTGTTTTTCACGATTACCCTCATTCCCAACCAACACATACTTCTGGTGTTGTCTCTTTCCAAGCACTCCAGACTTTCATGCAGCCTTGGCCTTGGAAAGCTGGTCCCACTTACTGCTCTTCCACCCCCAGGAAACCAAGAGGTACAAATAAAGTCCATCTCTCTGTGGCCATACACTGAACAGGGGAGGGATAAAGAGAGAGGACTGGGGGTTCCCTTTGAGAGAGGGTGGTTTACTACTCAGCTCTTGGTGATTGTTGTTTCTCCCCTCAGTGCAGACATCCTCAGGCTGCCAGCCTCCTCATCTCCTCCCAATGAGACTAATTACTCTGTCCTGTTGCCTAGTCCTAGGCTCTCCCACCCAAGTTCTGCTGCCCCCTCAGCCCCTCCAGTAGCCTCAAGGCCCCAGTCTGTGTTTGATCACTCAGATCATTAGATTTCAAAGCCATGGAATCCCATAATTTTTATGAGCACATGCTCTCCTCCAGGGCCTTTTCATGTCTGAAGAGGGAGCCAGCAAGCTCCCTGCCACTTCTCCACAGTAACAGAGCAGGCCAGCTGAAAGGAATTATGGGTACCCCCAGGAAATCCTTGATGTCTGACAGCTGGTGCCTAGATAGGGTGGGTGCTGGTTTGAACCAGAACCCTTGAAGGAAGTTCTGAAAGTTTAATGGGCTGAAATGTACAGGAGACTCCAGAGGCACAAAGAAAGGGATTAGATACCCAACTCCAGCAGGGATTGAGGAGGTTTTGCTTTAGAAAGCTCTCAATTCCTGCCTTTCAGCTCTCCCTAGTGGTCACCAGAAGCAGAGTTCCATGACTGATTTTCAAGTCATAAATATTTTCTAGGGACCTGCTATGTGTCAGGCACTCTGCTAGAACTCGGGGATTTCAGAATGAAAGCAGAGGTGGAGAGAACTAAGAGAAAAAAAAAACACAAGGAGTTTGTACTATCTTTTATCTGAGATACCTTTTTCTCTTCTGGATACCAGCAGCCCAGAGCATACTGACCTCAGAGCCTTTGGGACAGTACAGGAACAACCAGGGCCCTTCCAGGACCAGGCCCCAGCATTTCCACCTCCTCACTGCCTGGCGACTGGCCTCCTCCTGGCCAAAGCCACCTGGAAGAACTATGTGCTCCTTAGCATTGGTTTCCTGCTGAGCCAGAGCCCAGCCGGATAAAATTAGCCCATTGCTCACATCTAACAAGTGTCAGAGCTGAGCCCAGCAGCACTCTTGCCTGGCCAGTAGGACGCCTGGATTGACAGCACCTGTCGAGGGTCCCCCAGCCCAGAGCCTCCGTGCGCCCCGGGCCTACCTGTTCCAGGGACGGGAGGCTAGAGACAGGCGAACATTACCCCTTTTCCACTGCACACCCACCCTATACTGCCCTTGAAATGACTGGTCTCTGGGATCCGGGGATGGGGTGCTAACCGGTACCACTTCCCACCAGGTCTCCCCACCCACCCGACACTCACACTTGGGGAGTGCCTGGTGATGGAGATGGGGCTGGGGTCCCTGGGGCCCTGGCTGCAGCATCCCTTGGTTCTGCCACTGGCCTCTGGTCACTTTGGGTGGGGAAGGGCACGGCTCCTGCCCCTCCATGGCTCTCCATCCACTTCCGCGTCTGGGAAAGGTAAGAACCTGGGAGACCCGCCATGGACATACAACTGACCCTGCTATTCAGATGGGAATCAGGACCGGCCAGGGGAAGGGGGCAGGAAGGAAGGTGGGAGAACCTAACCCCAGGCCCTGCCAACTGTTCCGGGAGCCAGATGAATAGGCTGCAGCTGCTATGTGTCCAGGGCTCAGGTCCTCCTCGATCCCCCGCCCCCACTGCCCTGCCCGTGCCACCACCACCAGGGACTGCAGCGTCGCTGCCCCCACGGAGCGCTTGATCCAGAGTCCTGGAGGTGATCCAAGCTGGATGGGCGGCCCTCTTCTCTCTTCCCCCTACCTGATCTGGCCCCGAGGCCCCAAAAGACAGAGTCAGCCTGC